TTTGTTCCACAAGATAAATTTATCTTAGGGACTCTGTATTAGAGTCTCATTTATTTTCATTAAGCATTCTTTTGGTATTTTTGCTGCATATTAATACTTTTATGTGTTTTAAATAGATGTCAATATCAATATATTATGTGAAACTGATGGGTACTTAACGAAAATGACTTGCAGATGGTCAACTAATGCAATCCAGTCACTTGCGGGGAGTACTTTGCAATTGAGGTATCATAGGTATGTATTCTTTTTCTGTTTTTATTTTTGTGTAGATATGTTGAGATAAAAATTTCCTATAGAAATAATCGCCATCACGGTATTCTTGTAGCTTTTCTTCTTGAAAGAGGATAGTAGAATATACTTCATTAGAAAACAGTAACTGCTACTTTTAGCCATTTTAATGCCATATTAAGAGCAAATAGTGGCAGAAGGGCTGTTTCAAAGAAGAGGAGAAATGCTTTGTATGTTATTATGAGGCATGTTGATAGGGGCTCAGTTATAAAAAATGACTTTCTTCTTTGAGAAGATGAATGATATTCTTGACTATATGACTCATATGCAAAGCAAGAATTGATATCTTCAAAATTATACTGCTTTGAACTAGAAAGTAGTCGCACACTGTAATTATGCTATATGGGGGCGGGGCACCTTAGATTCCCTACGAAACGACCTGTGGTCTAGCCTGGCAGGCATTGCGCTGCTTCAATGCCTCCTGCTCTGGAATCGATCCTGCTCAAGCCACGTCCTTGGAAAAAACTCCCCAGTCATTTTCCATTCATCTCAGCGCTGAGTTTCCTGACATAATTGCGGGCCTGGGTGCCTCTGCCTCTGGTCTCACAGCCGGAGGAGGTCGGCGCCAACCCCCCGCCCCCCCCCCAGTGCGATGCATATCACTGTCTCTGGGAGGTGTGATCCCCTGGGAATCAGCTTATCCACACGCCGCACCTGCAGTGGGAGAACAGCGGCTCCAAGCAGGTCCTGTGACGCAGAGGGAGGCCAAGTGCAGCCTGCCCAGGAATTAGAACTGTGATTCCCAAAGAGTGTTCTCGGGAACCCTCATCCCTCAAGATGAACGGGGAGGCAAGTCAAATTCATGGGGAAAGGCCTCAGACTGCTGCCCCTCCTTGGAGACTTGCAGTGACGCTGGCTGTGTGACTCCTGGGGTGGGGAATGAGCGGGGAAGTGAGACAGGAAGCCGTGGGGGTGAGCTGTGGGGCGCCCCTGGGAACTGGAGCTGAAGCCCCGCCCATGTCACAAGCCTCCAGATGGGCGGGGGCAGGGTCTGGGGCTCCTCACTCAGAGCTGAGCTTCTCCCTTTGTTCAAAGAGCAGAGACTGGGTTAGCCCCTTGGGAGCCTATAGATTTGGTTTAAATCCATCTCCCAGAGACGCACAAAGAACATGAAAGGAAAACCCCAGGTTAGAAATGAAAAGAACGGAGGCACTTGCCAGAAGAAAAAAAAAGCAAAAAACCCCAAGCAAGCTGAACCCGCGCATTCCCGCTCCTGCCCTCTGGC